AGGAATGCCAGGTCACCACCCAGGGCCAGTACTGGTCCTTTGGTAATTAGCAGTACTGGTTCTGTGTGGCAGGGAGCTTAGCTTTAATGTCTTAGTGCTCGGGGTAGACAGGGAAAAGCACTGCCTTTGGATTTCAGCCTGCCTCTGACCAGCTCACTGATCCTAGGGAAGTTCTTTAACGTTTCGGAGCCTCAGTTTACTCTCCTGTCAAAACAAGATAGTAATACCTCATGTAGAATTATTATGTAGATTAAATGAGGTCATGCATACAGAGCCCTTAGCATCATCCTCAGCACACAGTAACCCCTCAAATTATATGAGCTTCTGTTATTGTTGTTTATACTACTGTTATTACTGCCACCACCACCACCAATGGAGGAGCTTGTGGTCCATAGGATGACATTAAAAATCACTGAAAAAAAACAGGGTGATGGGATTATAAGTCATTTTTCTTCTCCTTGCATCACTCTGTTTTCTATACTGAATAAGAAGCAGCAAATATTTATTCTAAAGAAACCCATTTACAAAAGCCTGGGCCCTATTATGCGCCCTGGGTTGAGGTGCTCTCAGGAGAATTGGGAGCCCTCACCTCGATCTCTCTGTCGCTGCAGATGACGAGAGTGACTCGGATGCTGAGGAGGAGCAGACCACGGTGAGAGTGTGGCGAGTGCCGAGCGGCTGCCCTAGGGGCCCACTAGTTGGCGGGTGCTATCCTCCCTAGAAGCAGAAGAAAGAGGTTTGAAAGAAAGGGAGGCTGGGATCCTGGCAGCTGGAGAGCTTAAGCACGGGTCCCAGTGGTGAGGCCCTGGCCAGCAGGGAGAGGGGGACAGGGGAGATTCCCGTGAGCAGTGCTTACCAGCTCGACCCTTTCCTTTGTCCAGAAACGCCGGCGACCAACACTGGGAGTTCAGCTGGACGACAAGCGCAAGGAGATGCTGAAGAGGCACCCGCTGTCCGTCATGCTGGACCTGAGGTGCAAAGGTCTGGCTCCGCTTGGTCTGGGGGATCTTGTAGCGCCTAGGAGTGCAGCCAGCTGCCGCTCTGTGGGGTCCAGCAAGCTGATGCCTCCTTGCCCAGGAAAAGATTCTGGTTTCATATTTCTGTTTTCCTTTATTGTTCTTCATGGAGTTTGATTTTTTCCCCCTCCTAAGCCATAACTTTGAAAACATAGCAAAAACATCAGACACATTAGGGATGCTTGATGGAACTACACCTCTTTCTGAACTTGACAGGTTAGATACACAGAACAAGTTGCCAAGAGTATGCAGGCTTTGAGTAATATGACCAACCTGCTTAATTTAATAAATATAAGTAGAACTTCGTATTTTGCAGAGACGATGGGTTTTGAAACTGGCTTCATATGGGTAAAGGAGTACATGGTAAAGCATCCCAGCAGGATAAGAGTTAGCAGTCAGATGTAAGTTTCCTTCTCACCCCAGACTTCCAGACCCTGGTCCTGGTCATTACCTTCAAGGGCAACCACTGTGACAGTTTCCTATGTATTTTCAAGAAATAAACTATGCATTTAGAAGCTTTTACACAAGTTTATACTTATCCCCTTCGCCTTTTATTTTTTACATAAATGGAAACACTCTACACACTTGTCTTCTCTTTGCCTTTTTATAAAAAAATTTTTGAGATAATTTTAGATTTAGAAGAGTTTCAGTGATGATACAAAGATTTCTCACCTGCTTTTCACCCCAATATCAACATCTTTCTTTTTTTTTTTTTACATCTTTATTGGGGTAATTGCTTTAATTTAGAAGAGTTTCAGTGATGATACAAAGATTTCTCACCTGCTTTTCACCCCAATATCAACATCTTTCTTTTTTTTTTTTTACATCTTTATTGGGGTATAATTGCTTTACAATGGTGTGTTAGTTTCTGCTTTATAACAGAGTGAGTCAGTTATACATATATATATATATATAACCACAGTACAGTTATGAAAATCAATGTCAGTTTCATTGGTACAATACTATTAACTACCAAAGTTATTCATATTCCCCTGGTTTTTCCACCAGTGTCCTTTTCCTCTTCCAGGATCCAATCCAGGATCTCACGTTGCATTTAATTGTCATGCCTCTTAGTCTCCTCCAGTCTTTGCTTGTCTTTCATGACCTTGACACTTTGGAAGATGAGGTTTATGTATTATGTAGAAAGACTCTCAGTTTGGGCTTGTCTGTTGTTTTCTCCTGATGAGACTGAGGTTGTGGGTTTTGGGGAAGGAATACCACAGATGGCAGTGTTCACCGTCACGTCTTATCAGGGGTTGGAGGTATCACTTCATCTTGTTACTAGTGATGTTAACCCAGATCACTTGGTGATCCCTTGATCGCTTCCTTTCCATGTTGTGTTAGTTAGAAGCAGAGTCTCTAAGTCCAGTCCACACTCAAGGGAGGGAAATGAAGCTCCACCTCTTGGAGGGAGGAGTAGCAAAGAATTTGTAGAGACTTTTTTTTTACTCAATGTTAAGTTGCCATCAAGTTGTTTTTGTAGTGAAAGGTCTTAAAAGTCTTGTTGACTTTCCTTTCTATAATACTGTTGATGCTCTTCTTGTGTTTAACTCATAAATGATGTGTTCTTTTCCTCCTCCCCTCCAGATGACAGTGTACTGCACCTGACTTTCTACTACCTCATGAACCTCAACATCATGACGGTAAAAGCCAAAGTGACAACCGCCACAGAACTGATCACCCCCATCAGTGCAGGGTATTGGACAGGTGCTGCGGGGGGTGGGGCGTGGGAGGGGGGTGTGTTGGGAGCCTTGGTGCTGGGCTCCTCTTGGATCCTCCTTCATCTGGCTCTGAGTGGAGTTCATGGCCACACTGGCTTCTGTTGTCACATCCACGCAGCCCCGAAGTCCTGGTACATCACAGGTATTTGGAAAGCACTCACTGACTTGAATTGGTGAAGTCCTCTCACTACACAGCAGATGCTAGAAGTGACTACAGCCTGTTGTAAATTGAGTGGGCAGGGCACCACCTTTTACACCAGTGGAAA